AGGAAAAGGGCATGGTGCTGGCAAGCAGCCTGCAGCCAGGAGGATGAGGGGACGGTGGTGGTGAGAGCAATTAAGGTTTGGCATCTTCTGCTCCCAGCCTTTTTGGCCACGTGCTCTCGCAAGCTGTGCCATGTGGACCGCCACTGAGCGAGCTCCGGGTGCCAGGCAGGGAGTGGAGGACAGGAGGCCTCCTGCACTGCTGTCATCCACTAGCCTGTGGTCTTTGAACATGCCACACACACCCTGGCCTTGGGGCGCTTGCATTCACCTGTCCCTCTAACTGGAATGCCCTTTGCCTTGGCGCTCTGTCCATTCAGGTGTCTGCTGTCTTGTCACCTCCTCGGGGCGGCCTTCTCTAAGTACATCTTCCGAAGTAGATCCTGCCCCATGATCCCACCCCCTTTCCCCTGCTGTATTACTTTCTTGCTAACGGTCCCTTTACATAACAGATTCTATACGTGTGTGTTTCTCTGCCAGCCTGGAATTTCATCTTGTTCCCTGCAGCATCCGTCAGGGCCCATGTGCCTGGCACGTAGTAGGCACTTGGTAAGCGTACGGCATGAATGAGAAAGTGAATACATGGTATGGAGGGATGCCGGATAACGTGGCTGGTCAGACAGAAATGTGAGCTGATGCTGAGTAAACGATGAAAGTAAACCTTTGGCAACAGTCCCTTGGTAACCTGTGTAAAAACAAAACACCCGCGTCTGACAGGGTTACCATCCACGTCCAGCTGTGAATGTGGGAGAGGGAGAATTTGGGGGAATCATTGCACAAGGCCAAGTCCAGCCCAGAAGCAGGCCTTGTGGTTCACAGACAGGACTCCACTGAGTAAGGACCTGCGTGCCAGGGGCCACCTCTGCCCATCCTTTCTTCCCCATCCCCGTGGACCTTTCAGGAGTAAGCCGCCTCTCTCGTTATTCTCCACGTATGTTCTTGCAGAGAATGTTTTGCTCGCTGTTTCACGTGTTCCTAAGTTTGACTGTGAGAAGTTCTACCAACCCAAGCTAAGAATTCTCGCGTGAAGAAATGCAGTCCGGGCGCCTGGGTGGCTCAGTTGGTTAAGCGACTGCCTTCGGCTCAGGTCATGATCCTGGAGTCCCAGGATCGAGTCCCGCATCGGGCTCCCTGCTCAGCAGAGAGTCTGCTTCTCCCTCTGGCCCTCCCCCCTCTCATGCTCTCTCTATCTCATTCTCTCTCTCAAATAAATAAATAAAATCTTTAAAAAAAAAAAAAAAAAAGAAATGCAGTCCAAGAAGAGAAGTGCTGTGACTGAGAAAATCACGTGTTGTGTGCGCTTTTGTAGAGCTGTCCCATCTTAGAGTCACAGGGGTACTCTCGCCTCCAGCTTGCTCGGGGCCTCTGTCCAAGATGGGGTTAGGCGGGGATTGCGCCGGACAGATGGCTTGTAACAGAGTTCTTTAATATCTCCAAATACTAAATTTCACAGTTGCTTCTGGTAACCTGCTGCTGACTTCAGGATGCTTGGGCTGAAATTTTACCTTACATTTAATCAAGCTGCTCTTTGTTGCTATGATGTTAGCCTAGATTCCCAAATTGAACGATGTCCTAGGCATTGTTCTCACACTGATAGGTCGTTATACCAGTTCCTGGGCCTCATTTTTTCCAAGACCACTCATGTTCTCCCCACCTCCCAACTCTCCCCCACAGGTCTGTTCCCTGTCATAGTTGACTTTTTTTTGTTTTTTTTTTACTTGTGTCCACCTTTTCTATATCCTCCTTACATTTACAAAACACAGCGCAACTGGTTACAGCCCCTCTGGGAGGCCTCTTGGTTAAAATTTAGAATGATTGCCTTATGGCTTTGTCAGGTATTTTCCTAATGATCCCAGAATACTGTTATTTGAAGGGTATCTTGACAGCATAGTATTAAGTATACAGCTTGTTGTAGTATGCATCATTCTAACATCTGCTCATTCGCGGGATGAGTTTTATTTTGGTTTTGGTTTATAACCTCTGGCTTCTTTCCGCGCTATGAATGTCTAGTTTGTTCTAGGTGTCTAGGTATGCTCCTTTGTGTTTATCCCTGCTCAGCCATCCTTTGTACACAGTAGGTGCTTGATATTTGTGTATCTAATCACTGTGTTCATTTTAGCCTTATCTTCCATGTTTAATGCCTCATATTAACCGCTCCTATCTCATGTGATGCTATCAACTCACCCACCTTCCATTGCTGTCCCCCCGGGGGTGTTAGCACTTGAAGGGGACATTGTGGGTGGGTTGTCATGATGACTGGGGGCTCACTGATGGCATTAGGGATACATAGGGGCCGGGGACAGAAGGCCAGCAGTGCCCTTGCTGAGAAGCACGAGTGGCCACTGATGGTTGGCAGTATTCCTCATGGAGTTGAACCTGTTGCAGACATACAGCAGGAAACCTTTATCAAGGGCTTACTGCATGCCTGGCACTGCTCTAGGGATCTTATGTGTATTAAATCATTTGAGCTTCTTAACCTCTGAGGCAATTACTTTACATTTGCCACCATATTACAGATAAGAGGTTAAATAAGTTGTCCAAAGTCACATTGCTAGTAGTGGACAAAAAGGATTTCAAACCCAGGTGGTCTTGCGGCGCCTGGGTGGCTCAGTCGGGTAAGCATCTGCCTTCAGCTCAGCTCATGATCCCAGGGTCCTGGGATTGAGCCCCGCGTCTGGCTTTCTGCTCAGCAGGGAGTCTGCTTCTCTCTCTCCCTCTGCCACTCCCCCGGCTCATGCATGAGCACGTACTCCCTCTCTCTCTCAAATAAATAAATAAAATCTTTAAAAAAAATAAAAACCCAAGTGGTCTGATAAAGAGCCCAGCACTTAGCCACCTAATCACCTGCCAGCCTATTAGGCCTGTATACCTGCTCTCAGCCTTAATACCTGATTTTTGTATGTGTAATATGATCCATTAGTAAGCTCTATATTCATTAAGTAAAAGCAGGACTTAGATTTAAAATGTTTTGGAAGAAGGTGGATTTGTCCCCGGTGGGCAGCTTGTCCATCAGTAATTCAGTCCAGTAGTCAAGGTATTCACAGCCTTGTTCCTCCTGGTGCCTGTTTGCTTTTGATTGGGGGTAAAGGGAACCCCGTGACCTCCATATACATGGCCTACCATCCCTCACAGATAAAGTTAAATTGTATTAGAATGATTTCGATTTCACAAAAACATGATGTTTGTCTTCTAAAACTTACGTGTTCTAGATGATTTTCGGTAGATGACGAAAAAATAGATACAATAAAATTATTTCCCAACTGCAGGACTTTGAATAGATAAAGCATCCTGAAATGGATGGCATTCTTTTTAAGAGGAATTCTGCTTAGGAAATGTAAAGCTTAACCAATTCTCAAGATTTTCTAGAATTTCTGTCCCCTGAAGAGGTTCAGTCTGGGGCAGGAAAATGGATCAGGACCAGAATGGTCTTAGGAGTACAGTATGTTAAAAAAAACTGTTTAATTTCAGAGGTGACCTAGTACTGTGATTGTGTGTAATTGTTGGCACTTGGATGTGTGGAAGTTGGTGGCTTCCTGGTTTCCAGCCATGGGTTGAGGGAGTCAGTACCTTCCCTGCGCACTCCACTCCCCACCCCAGAGGGCCGGGGCAGATGTCAGAACAGAACCCTGGTAACTACTTCTTTCTAAGTGTTCTTGGTGGCTCCACCTGTCTCTGTCTCACTGCCGGCTGGATTGACACAGATGTAACTAGTCCATGGATGAAGGAAAGTTTATCCATGAAATTAGCCAAAGAATACATAATACTTCAGTGTGGTAAGCCAAGGAAGAGAAATATCATTAAATGATTAACAGCTTACTTAGTTAATAAAACCAATTTTGCCTTTGCCCTGGGAAAGTAAAATATTTGTGGTTATTTCTGTGAAGAGTAAATGTATGCCTTCTAACTTTAATATAGAAAATCTAGTTGATATTGCATATGAAAAGATGCTTAGCTATACTGTAAATGTAAATCTTAAATAGGGGGGAGTTGTGGGGAGCTATAAAATCTTAGAAGATGAAGGTAAATCTGTAACTACTGATAGGAGACTATATTTCCAAGATGTTTTAAGTGAAAGCAAGTAATATGTACTCTTCTTGATATAACATTGTTTTCTGTTTGTTTGTTCACTGTAACCTCCACAGTAAGAATATATTTTATATCTCAGCACAGCACACGGTACTTAGGTATATATCATCATACTTATGTGATACAGTAACACTAAAGATTTATGAAAATATTCATTCTCACTAGGGGCAAAGCATTCTGATTAATATTATTGTAACTACTTTTTAATGCTAAGTTGACCTAATCATCTATTAATGGGTTAAAATCCACAATTATAAAAAAACACCCGTTGGCATGACCCCTTTTGTGCTCAGAAGAGAAAAGTCTCGAGGTATGTCCAAGAAATGTTACCATAGGCTCCTTCTGACAGTGAGGCTTTAGGATTGTGGTTGGAGTGAAGTGATGAGATTATTTGGGGGGGCACCTCTTTTCATTTTTAATATTTAAATATTTTTTTTACCACGGACATGAAATATTTTTAAATAATAATTAATGAAAATAGCAAGCAGAGGAAACCATCTATTCACCGGGGCCTTCCTTTCTCCAACATGGCTCTTCCTATCTTGGCTACAGGCTTACCTCAAGCTTTGGTTCTTGCCCAGATGGAATCTTCTCCCGTCTGCCACCTTTTTCCATCCAGTTCCACTCTTCTCCCCACTGAGATTCCAGCTTCACAGAAAGCATTTTTATGGAACTGCGAAAAGAAGTTCAGAAAACTGGCACTTCATTTATAAAGTGAATTCACGGGATTCTGTCTTTCCTTTTGATTTTCAAATTAGACCTAGCACACAAGTTACTTTGGGAATTAAAAAAAAGTTTCAGCATAACCTTGTCCGTAGCATATTCTTTGAAAAGGATTTGTTCTTGTTCTTTTATGAAAAAGCACTGTATAAAAGCATTTTGAGTAGAGATTAATCAATGTCTGTTTTTCTTAATAGGTTTTAAAATGGAAAATTTTGATGCATCACTTAGTACCTATTTCAAGGCATTGCTAGGCCCCCGAGGTAAGGTGGTTTTGGTTTTGCTCCCCTCCCCTTATAGACACTTATAAATATTGCATGAAGAGATTCTAGAAAACATTAGCGTCTTCTATGATAAGACTAACACTTTGTCCTGGATAACAAGGGGCTTGGAGAAGTCCTGTGACAATGGTCTTGAGGTGGTGCAGTGTCCCTGGCTATCGGCACAGAGATACAGTGGCTGTGACCCTCTGCTGGCTGTAGCTGGGGTTCAGATTATGCTGGAAAGCTTGCAGCCTGAGAATGCTGCGCCTTTCACCTCGTGGTATGTTTTCCTCAGTTGCTGCGAGTCTGCAGCTGAGACCGGTTTCCAAAATGCACTGCTGGAGTAGTTTAAAACTTTTCCCCTCTTACAGTTTTAACGGCTTGTTAATGGCCTTTTGTGTTGTGTCACATCAGTGGGTAAATATATACACCTGACCTCACTTTTTTATACTTCATCAATTGTTTCCTTGTAGGAAGTAAATCAGCTCCATATTGCTCTCTTTGAATATCGTCTGTAATGTCTCCCGATGTATCTATAAAAAAGGAACTTTATAGGTTCACAGAGTCATGAAAAAATTGCAAGAAGCTTTTAGACAGATGAAAAGATTTTCAGTTTCACTTATGATTTTTAAAGTACAAAAGAAAATAGCAAAAGGAATTCATCTCTTAGTGTGGTAGAAATGAAATGTGTTTGAGAACAGTGATGATGTGGGGAAAGAGTCTAATTGGTATGACCTCTTTGGAGGGTAATTGTGTCTTCCATTGAAATCAAAAAGCACATGCCCTTTGATTCGGCTGTTTGACTCCTGAGGCTTTATCCTAGAGCTTATCTTGATCATTTATGCAAAGATAGGAATAAGGGTGTTCCCTACAGCATTGCTTGTCAAGACTGGGAATAATCTAGGTGCCCATCAAGAGGCGAAAGGTTAAGTAAATTAGCATACAGCCAAATGAGAAAAACAAGTTAGATCATCTTGTATTTACTTGTGTTGAGATGATGCTTATTTCAACCTTATGGGACAAAAGAATCCAAGTTTGAATGGCTGAAACAATAATGATCAGTTTACATTACCAAGATTGAGCAACCCCTGAGTTATTTCAGGGACCAAGGACACTTGTTCTTGTCATTTTCTACTTTGTATTCTCAGTATATCAGCAGTTCTGTCCTCAGAAAAGTCCCTCCACCTTTCATGACTGCAGAAGCACCAGACATCACCTGCGGAAGAGAAGGAAAAAAATCTGTTCATTTGCATGGATTTAAGAACAAGGAAACTCTTCCCCAGCGCCTTTTGCCCCACTGTCATTTCCTCAGAGCTCCACGGCCACAGTTGTTTCATTAAGTGAAAGGAAATGGGAGGTTTCTGTGTGTGCAGTTACTACGTTTGTGATCTATGTGTGCACACAAACATATGTAACCGCCTAATGTTAGTTGCTAAATGGGAACTTGTTTTCTCACAGTTGATAGCCAGGGCCCAGAGTTGAGAACACAAGGCATTAAGAACCTCCCCCTTAAGTCCACTGGAGCCACCTTAGCATAAGTAGTGGGGAGAGGGTGGAGGGCATCTCCCTCTGAAGCCAGGGGAGGAGCACTACAGAGAAACACCAGGAGAATTTAGAATGTCTGCAAGAAAGGAGACGGACAACCTGTTCCCCAAGTGGATGGGTGCTTTTCCTGCAAGATCAAGAGAAAAAGCATTGGAGAAAGTAGCAGCGTGGCCCAGTCGGGAGGTTGAAGAGGGGACAGAGCCTTTCCCTGCTCGCTGCTGCCTCTCTGAAGATGACAGAGGCAAAACCTGCATGTGCCTCTGAGCTCCAGAGTAGGTGACCTTGGACGGTAGAGAAGATTGAGGAGCGATAGGTTTCGGGGGTTCATCAAAGCAGCATGCTGAGGGGAACATGCTGCAGAGGTGGCTTCCTGGGAGTCGGCCACAGGATGAAGTTGACTTGCAGGGGACAGGTTAACACCTAGGGGGGTTGGCTGCCAGGGCGTTTACCCCCTTTCAAGGAGAGGCTGGCAGATTGCTCCCAGCAGCTACTTGGAGCTAATTCTCCTCATCCCTGCAGGGGAAAGAGGATGGGAGCACAGGGGAGAGCTCTCCTCCCTCTGTAGCTCCCTTGAATCTGTGCAGGTCTACTCTCTCAAGCCGCTGCTGCTCCCGTGGTTCCTTAAATAATCACTTCCCTGGTCATTACTACCTCACCCCTTCTTATTTGTCCCCTCTGCTGTTGACCATTGCATTCAGAGCAGATGCCTCCTCTCTCATCAGTGACTGTCGTTAAGCTGGATGAATAGCCCATTTTCTCTGAGTCTGTACATGCCGGGCAGGCTGGCAGGCACTTAACATCAGGTGAGAACTCTGGAGTTCAAAAAGCCTGTCATTTCTGGAGTTTTATTATCCTGTGCAGCATTCAGCACATCTGGTCAGTAAATACAGTTAGTGGAAAATTTAGCTTTCTCCTTGCTTATTTAAGATTCTTTGGAAAATATATATATATATATTTTTTTTTACTTAGCAAAAACTACGTATGATATACATGTTATTCAGAACATGTAATAAGGAGCTTCACCTTGGATGACAAGTATTGAAAACTCCTGCTTCCTCTTCCAGTTGGCCTTGTTGGGATTAGGAACTTGAGTATTAGATGACTGTTAAAAAATTATGGGGAGGGAAGATTTTTAGTGTTTGAAAAAAAAAAAGTTGTGGTGGTTTTTTTATCAGCGTTATTAATCACTAAATATTTTTCTTTTATTATTTTCCAGATACCAGAGTAAAAGGATGGTTTCTTCTGGACAATTATATACCTACTTTTATCTGCTCTGTCATATACTTACTAATTGTATGGCTGGGACCAAAATACATGAAGAATAGGCAGCCGTTCTCTTGCCGGGGAATTTTAGTGGTGTATAACCTTGGCCTCACATTGCTGTCTCTCTATATGTTCTGTGAGGTAGGTCTGTCCCTTAAATGTGCTCTGATCACCGTCCTCAGTGGTGTTCCTAAATAAGGGCAGCTGCATTGCGGGGTGGGATGGGGGGACTGGGAGAGCAAATACATTAATCCATTTTGAGTATGTTTTAAAATTGATTTGCCAAAATGCCAGAGTTGTTTGTATAAATATGCCTTCTAGAATATCTAAAATAGAAGCCTTTGCTATTGATTTGTGATGTTTCATATCATTTTCTAGAAATACTTTTATGCAAGCAGAACACAGGGTGGAAAATGAACAAAATGTGAAAAACAGATCTGTGAACATTTTATTATTAAGCATTTAATAAATGCAGGATTCTGGTTTGGAGGTGGGGGAGGAAGGAAGTGGGTAGCAGTTGTGTTTGGGTGTGTTTTTTGGCAAGCCTCTCACCTGATCTGATAACTGTAAATAGCTTTGAGATTTGACAAGTTCATTTTTAAAAGCTAAGAAGAGTGGATGGTGAGATCTGTGTTTAAGATCTGAATGGTCTGTAAGTTTGGGCCAAATTATTTTATCTGTATAACTGGGAGGTTGGAAACCATATTTGATGATCTCAAAGGCAAACGTTGTAGCTGAAATAAAAATGAAAGAAATGGAAATCAAAACTTACATCCTCCCTATTTTTTGCTATTACGTAATATAGGCTTTAAAGCTAAACAGGGGAGGAAAGCTGCCCTCCAAGGGTAAGCACAGTTTGTATACGTTTTTAGGGGAGGGACCACCTTTCAGGCTTACAGTACAAATGTCTCGCAGCACTAAACTATTGTTAAATCTCTGGGTGGAGAATTAAGCCATGTATAAACATTTGCAAGCACTCCCATTTAGA